TGGGTCGGGACCGACTCGATGGCACCTAACAACAACAACAACAAAAAGATGCCGAATTCCCAGGCAGGTGATGTTAAGCTACCTCTGTTGTTAGGTAATCAGTTGTAAAAACTAACAATGATGCAGTGTATCCAGTTAAACTGAATTCCAAACAAAAAATGAATCATTTCTTAGTAAAAATCCCATTCAGAATTTCAGCACACTTTCACTAAAAAAACAAAACAAAACTTTATTATTATTTAGTGACATTCAAATGTAATGGGACATGCAGTATCTTACCCTGTTTGCAAATATAGAGAACTTTTCATCGAATAGAGTTTTCATAGAACAATTCATTTTTTTTACCATCATTATGTCCTATGTTTAATATTTCAGATATATTGTCACTAAAAATATACATTGTTTTATTGAAATTTAGATTCTATGGGAACTCCTATATTTTACCAAAATCCAAACCCACTTCCGCTGAGTTCATTCCAATTCATAGTGACCCTGTATAGAGTTTTCACTTCCGCTGAGTTCATTCCAATTCATAGTGACCCTGTATAGCGTTTTCACTTCCGCTGAGTTCATTCCAATTCATAGTGACCCTGTATAGCGTTTTCAAGGCTATAAATCGTCACAGGAGCAGAAAGCCCCATCTTTCTCTTTATCCATTTCAGAAATAGAAGTACAGAACTCTCAGTGAAGTACAGTTTTTACATTTTAAAAAATTACAACTATTAGTATTATTGATTTTGGTTATATGCTGTGCAGTCAGTTCTGACTCATAGCAACCCTGCATGGGATTTCCAAAGCTGTAAATCTTCGTTGTTGCTCTTGGTGGTGTTAGGTGCCATCGAGTTGGTACTGACTCATAGTGACCCTATGCACAACAGAACACAACACTACCCATTCCTACACCAACTTCACAATCTTTGCTCTAGGCTTGAGTCCATTACTGCTACCACTGTGCTAATCCATCTCATTGGGAGTCTTCCTCTTTTGCGCTGACCTTGCATTTTACCAAACATGATGTCCTTCTCCAGCGACTGGTCCTTCCTGATAATATGTCCAAAGTATGAGAGACTAAGTCTGGCCATCCTGCCTTCTAAGGAGCACTCTAACTGTACTTCTTCCAACACAGATTTGTTTGTTCTTTTGACAGTTCATGGTATGTTTAATATTCTCCTCTGACACCACAACTCAAATGCATCAATTTTTCTACAGTCTTCTTTATTCAGTGTCAATCTTTCACATGCATGAAAATACCATGGCTTGGGTCAGGC